TAAATCTCAGAGGACAAATGTCAGCAGCTCCACAGTACGATGGGAAAATTGAGGAGGGCCGTGGTTACCAGCATTTCCCAAATTCACTCAGAGAAAGAAACTATGCTCCCCTACACACCACACACACACACACTCACACTCACACACACTCACACACACACACTCACATACACACTCACATACACACTCACACACACTCACATACGCACTCACACATGCACTCACACACACACTCACACACTCACATACGCACTCACACACTCACACACACTCACACACTCACACACACTCACACACACACTCACATACACATTCACACACGCACTCACACGCACTCACACACACTCACATACACACTCACACACGCACTCACACACACTCACACATGCACTCACACACACTCACATACACACTCACACACACACACACACTCATACATTCACACATGCACTCACACACACACGCACTCACACACTCACACACAACACACACATACACACACACATATACATTCACACATGCACTCTCACACACGCACACTCACACACACACTCACATACACTCACACACACTCACATACACACTCACACACACTCACACACTCACACACTCACACACACTCACGCACACTCACACACTCACACACACTCACATACACACTCACACATGCACGCTCACACACTCACACACGCACACTCACACACACTCACACTCACACACACACTCACACACTCTCACACACACTCACACACACTTACATACACACTCACACACTCACATACACACACACGCACTCACACACACTCACATATACATTCACACACGCACTCACACACTCACACACACACTCACACACAACACTCACACACACTCACATACACACACGCCCTCACACACTCACATATACATTCACACACGCACTCACACACACTCACACACGCACTCACACACTCACACACAACACACACACACTCACACACACTCACACACACACTCACACACACACTCACACACACTCACACACACTCACACACGCTCACACACGCTCACACACACTCACACTCACACACACACTCTCTCTCTCTCTCTCTCTCTCTCATACACACTCACATACACACTCACACACACTCACATACGCACTCACACATGCACTCACACACACACTCACACACTCACATACGCACTCACACACTCACACACACTCACACACTCACACACACTCACACACACACTCACATACACACACACTCGCATACACACTCACACATGCACTCTCACACACACACACTCACATACACACACACACTCGCATACACACTCACACATGCACTCTCACACACACACTCACACACTCACACACACACTCACACACTCACACACACTCACACACACTCGCATACACACTCACACACACACTCACACACACACATTCACACACGCACTCACACACTCACACACTCACACACTCACACACACACTCACACACACTCGCATACACACTCACACACACACTCACACACGCACTCACACACTCACACACACACTCACACACGCACTCACACACTCACACACACACACACACTCACATACACACACACATACACACACTCACACACACTCACATACGCACTCACACATGCACTCACACACACACACACACACTCACCCACACTCACACACACACTCGCATACACACTCACACATGCACTCTCACACACACACACTCACACACTCACACACACACTCACACACACTCGCATACACACTCACACACACTCACACACACTCACATACACACTCACACACACTCACACACACATACACATTCACACACGCACTCACACACTCACACACACACTCACACACACTCACACACACTCACACACACTCACACACACTCACACATACACATTCACACACGCACTCTCACACACACTCACATACATTCACACACTCACACACAACACTCACACACTCACACACACTCACACACACGCACTCACACACACACTCACATATACATTCACACACGCACTCTCACACACGCACTCACACACACACACAACACACACAGTCACACACACACACACATACACACTCACACACTCACACACACTCACACACACGCACTCACACACACACTCACATATACATTCACACACGCACTCACACACACATGCACTCACACACTCACACACTCACACACACTCACACACACTCGCATACACACTCACACACACTCACACACATACACACTCACACACACTCACACACATACACATTCACACACGCACTCACACACTCACACACACACTCACATACACACACACACACACACATACACATTCACACACGCACTCACACACTCACACACAACACACACACTCACACACACACTCACACACACTCACACACACACTCACACACATTCACATACACACTCACACACTCACACACACTCACACACACGCACTCACACACACACTCACATATACATTCACACACGCACTCTCACACACACGCACTCACACACTCACACACAACACACACACTCACACACTCACACACACACTCACACACACTCACACACACACACACTCACACACACTCTCTCTCTCTCTCTCTCTCTCTCTCTCTCCCAGGCCTGCAGAGGGAAAACAACTCACTCCTGTGCAACTCATCCAGGTCATGCAAACCCTTACATTCAATGCCGGCCGCAGCTGATTTCATCCCAACTTTCACTGAAAAAAATAATGCTCTGCTAAATTGCCATGTATCTCTTCTCAGCCCCAAAGACTTCAGGATAAAAATCTGTTTGGCTTTCGCTTTTTTTTTTTTTTTTGCTTTTTTTTTTTAATGTTGCTCAAAATAGTTTTCTCTACTCAGATAATTTTGCAATATTCCTTATCCCACCAATCTCTTCCCCGCAGAGGACCTCCCTGCCACACACATCTCCAAGCTGGGGGGAATTCCTCCAGGCTCTGTGGGTGCGCATGCCCGGACCTGCCCCCACTTCACCTCCTGGCATGGAAGACCAGGAGGCGGGGCTGCACGGAGCAACAGGGCGGTGCGGGGGAGGGCGTCTCTCTGTGTGGCAGGCAGAATAACGCCCTCTCCGCCCAGGTTTGCGTCCCAGTCCGGGGAATCTGTGACCGTGTTACATCAGGTGGCAAAGGGGAATTAAGGCAGCAGATGGAATTAAGGACAGTAATTAGCTGAGCTTGCAATTAAGATGTTTATCCTTACAATAAAGTTAAGGCAGAAGAAGGGAGAAGAAAGTGGGGGAGGGGCGTTACAAAGCTACAAAATGGGATAAGGCGTTGACCCACAATTGCTGGCCTTGAAATTGGAGGAAGGGGCTACGAGCCAAAGGCCATAGGCAGCCTCTGGAAGCTGCGCAGGGCAAAGAAGCAGGTGCCCCCAGGAGGCTCCAGAAAGGAACACAGCCCTGCTGACACCTTGATTTTGACCCCCCTGGGACCCATTGCGGACTTCTGACCTCCAGAACGGCAAGATAATAAATCTGTGTTGTTTCAAGCCACTAAATGCATGATAATGTGTTATGGCAGGAATAGGAAAGTAACACACGGTGTGTGGGAATGTTGCCTGTCACTGAGATGCCCCTACACACCTAATCAGCCTGTGCGCACGCGGTGCCCGAGAGGAACGTGGGCTGGGTTGCTCCGCCCCTGCCCTGACACACCAGGAAGCAAGCTGTCTACTTCTGAAGACCGGTTTACAGAAGTGACCTGGTCAGATCCAGGGTGACCATCCCAAGGTGTGTGCTGCAGCAGAGGATGGAGGCAGAGGCCTGGACTGAGGGCACCGCAGGTTGTCCCCACGAACTATTGTCACATCAGATCTCCACCTGTCACCAACCAACCCATCTTTTCAGGGTTCAGGGTACTGAGACATAGGCAGGCATGTATGTAATAGGTGACACCAGAGGGCCCACGTGCGTATGAGGTTGTGAATAAATTAAACCCATATTATGTACGTATAGAGCGTGGCTTTTATTTTCTGTGCTGCCAGCTATTAAGCTAGCTTCTGGAGACCAGCGTCTTTGTTTTATTTATTGATGTTCCTACTAACACCTGGCGCATTCTAAACGTGCATTAACTCCCTGTTGGGTATGCAATGGATTCTCCCCGGAGGAGGGACTCACTGGAAGGAGAAGCTTTTGAACCTTTCCAATCGCAGCCCAACCAAAGCTCTGACATGCCCCCAGCTGCAGGACCCCTCCCTGGTTAGAGCCCAGTAGGGTATTTGGCTCGAGAAATTTCCCCCGCCCTCCCCCGTGCCCCCCTTCCCCGGGAGGGGGCGGGGGGGTGGGAGCATTGTGTCCCGGCTGGATCGCCAGACGCATTGAGTCAGATTTGTGCCAAAAACGCTTATCCCAGAAAAGTGAAAGGCTTTCCATTTTCTCCGTGGCAACGTATCCAAGTCTTGATCGTGGAGCTGCGACACGCGTAACCGGTCCTGTCTGTGCACTGAGCCCCTCAAACAGCGGGGAGGGGAATGTAGGGGGTCCGGTCCGTTGGAAGCTTTGCTGCCTTTCAGGGGGTCCGGCCTGTGTCCAAAGAGCCCCGCGTGGCCCGTCCCCCGGGCGCGCACGTCGGGGCGCAGCCTCGGCCGCGGCTGCAGGGCGATCGGGCGCCGCGTCCCGCGCGGGCAGCAGCCGGCGGGGAAGCCCGGGGCGCACGCCCAGCCCGGGCGCCCGCGAGCGCGCCACCTGCAAGCCCGCCGCGGCGTCGCGGCGCTTGCCCGGTCCTCCGCGCCTCGGCGCTCGGCTCGGGCGCTGGCCCGGGTCCCGGCCCGGCCCTCCCGCGGCCCGCAGCAAAGAGTTAAGAGCCGGCTCCCGAGCCCTCGCCCGCCGCGCAGGGCCCCGGGCCGCTCGCCGCTCCTGATTGGCTGCGCGCCTGTCAGTAGTAAGGAGTATCAGATAGCAAACTTGGGACCTTCATAAAGGCGTGGTGGCGATACTCCGCAATCGCCGGCAGCCTATGACATCAGCCAGGAACGCCTGGGATGCCGCCGCTCCTGGCCAACCTCCGAGGAGGAGGAGGAGGAGGAGGGTCCTGCCGGCTAAGAGTTAATTAGCCCCGCGCGGCGCGGGGGGAGGCGCCAGTGTTCTGGGGACTCTGGCTGCCACTGTACTCCCACCCAGGGGAGCTCGCCGAGAGTTGGATGAATTCTGGGCTATTAGCTGCGGTCAGCCGGGCTCCCGAGAGCCTGTTCCTGGTGGAAAACAGGGGGCGTCTGGCAAAGGGACCGGCGGCTTCCTGAGCCTGTCAACATGACACTTCTGGGGTCTGAGCATTCTTTGCTGATTAGGAGCAAGTTCAGATCAGGTAGGGCTAAGGCATTTAGCATTCCTTCTTACACTTTCCTCTACTGCCATTCTCCACTCTAGAACCGCTTTCCAGTTGAATGTTTCGAAGCCCGCCGTGGCTAGCTCGACTTTGTTCCCCAAAAGCACATTTTGGAAGCGAAGAATTTTATCTGACTTTGGGGACCTTTTAATGTCTTCCGTTGCAAATGCTTTGAGTTGTTGAATGTGGTTTTTCGTTTGGGAAAAGGCCAACAATTCCTTTATTTTATTTTATTTTTATTTTCCTCTGGATCTGTGAATAGAAATTTTGGAGGGGGTACGTCCAAAAGGAGAAACTTTGAAAATGAACAAATAAGGGATTTCAAGCCTGGGAGCTGTGTGCTATCAGTTGTACTTGCTGAGAAGATGAACCTGACACTGTGTATTAGGTACAGGGGTCACTTAAAATGTAGCTAATCCAAACAAATGTATTTCCCAAAAAAGTCACTTGGGGGAAGTAAAAATAGCAAATTTGGAGCACACCAAGTATTTGAAATGACATCACTGTAGGGGGAAAAAAAAAGAAAGAAAGAAAGCCCAGTGCCACAAATATTTTTCCCAAACCATCTGATATTTATAAACAGAGGATTTTCCTCCAAATTTCTGTGTTAGTGGCACATGGAGAATCGTCTCAAAAGATGCTGAGTGGAGGTGAGTAGAAGGGAGCGATGGGAACTCTAACTGCTCCCTGAGAAGGGTTTGAGCACGCACCCGTAGACGGTCAGTGTGGATCTCCACATTTACTCCTGAAATGAGTTTTTAGTAGCTCTGCATGTAATGTTGGTTTTATAAAAGTGCTAACAGTCCACTGAATAACGGCAGAACTTCTACTTAGGAGATGGGTTAGTTTTATGAGACCTCTGATGTGAGAGTAACAGGTGTTAGGAAGACGCTGGCATAGTTTGCTAGACCCAGGTTTTCCTTAGCCCATCGAAACAGGGCCACCCGATTGTTTCACTTGGGGTGGATGGTTCGAAAATGAGAAAAGTGGATGCGAGGAAGTAAGGGTCATCCATGACTTTCTTAGGTGCCCTTGGTTTTTAGATGTCTTTGGGGTCAACTGGAGATTTTCTTAGGATCTGCACTGTTGAAGCAAGTTGAAAACTTAAGAGCCTCGGCACAAAGTTCAGTGCCCCTGAAGCTCCAGGTCGAGGTCGCCAGCCTCCCGGGCCAGCAGTGGATTAAGTCTTTCCTTTCCTTCCCATGCCTTGGTAAGGTGGTTGGTTTGTTAATCAACTAGAGACCTCACCGCTGCTTTGTAATTGGGTTAAAACCGCAAGGCAACACTGCCACCTTTCTGAAGAACAGAGGATGTAGATTTGTTTTGCATGAAGCTGCATTCATTGCACTCTCTTGCCAGTTTAATGTGGGAGGCTGGGGAGGGGCTGGATTGTCTCTAAAAGGATTTGGTGATGTACGTGATAGTAGACTTGCAAAACAGACTTATCAAAGGAATTCTTCCTCCAGCTGAAGTACAGAGGAGAAGGAAGGCCGTTTTTGTGCAGCCAGCAATTCCCATCTCAGCAGATTTGTGGAGTCCTGGGGTCTCCCAAGTAGACCTGCAGCCCCTTCTCCTTGAGCTACAGAAAATTCCAGCCTCGCTTTTCTTTTCAAGCTTGTACAGGATTCTGTGTCGTAAGGGTAGCTGGGGAAAAGATGATAGCAAAGCAGAAGCAGGCGTGCTTAATCCTTCGTCTTTGATAAACAGGCAACCTGGCGTCTGGAAAGGACAAAGTGGTTTGGTCATCTGAGATGCAAAGACTGATAGTCTCTTGAAAGACAGAGGGGAAAAAAAACAAGCAGAATGTAAAAACTTAGAAAATGCAATGTTGAGGGTGCTGGTTTTTCTTTCTGGATATAATTCCGAGTAGAGCCGCAGCGGCGTGAGGTCTGGCTGGGGGCATGGTACCAAGAGGGCCTCTCTGTGAGTGAGCTCGGTTTGTTTACTTTGTCACTAAAAATGGATAATAAGGGCCTCGTCTTCCTCATCTTCATTTTGATTTCTCTCGCTCTCTATTTTCTTCTTGTTCTTCTCCTCTCCTTCTTCTCGTCTTTCACGAACAACTCAAACCGTCAACCCATACGGTCGTTTCTATCTCACTGCAAATATTTGCTTTGATAGCAGATACTGGTATTATGTATTTCATTAAAAATATTTAAAAAAATAAATGCAGCTAAATTCTTCTCTGATGAGAGCAACGGACTTGCTGTGACAGGGCTTGTTTATAAGTGAATAGATAACTGCTTGGATGCCAACTGCATCTGACCAACTTTCTGTACGCTATATTTGAGTGACCTTGTGATTAAAAGGACAAAATTATTTATACAGCAGCAGCAAACTGAAAGTTTACACGTATGAACATGTTTAGTGATGTAAACTCATCTTATTTGAGAGGCCATTTAGTGTGTGGTTCTGGGGCCAGACGAGCTGGATTTTTAGCTGTTGCTTCTACTTATTAGCTGTCTGACCTTGAACCTTATCGTGTAAGTCTCTGTGCCTCCACTTGAGGCACCTGAATAATGAGGATGGTTATAGAGTCATTGTGAGACTCAAATGGGAAAATACAAGTAGAGCATTTAGAACAATGTCTGGCCCTTAGAAATGCCTCACAAAATATCGGCCTATTATTAATATTAATGTGCGGTGGAATCCTTGGTTGGTCACTTCCTCTCTCTGAGTGTTGGGTACTTAATCTGTAAATGTCAAGGTTTGGTGACACCTTATAGTTCTCTGAAAATCAATGTTGACTGTGACCAAGCAGAACTGTGATTGGTTTGTGTGTCAGTTGGGCATAAGGGGTAGTCACTTTACATAAATGCAATAATCTTTTCACTGTTGTTCATTCAATATTTGTAATCACTGTCGCTGTCAATGATTTTTCTCAATATCAGTCTCGTGTCTTACAAAACCCAAGGGCACATACATATGTAGTTTGCACACACATATACACATACACGTGCACACATACACACCCCTCATACACAAAGGATCAAAAGTAGAGAGAGATCCCTTAATGGGTTTTGCTTCTAAAGAACCATCATGCTTGTTTTGCTTCTGTGTCTTTCCTCTTCTCGAACAGCCCCAAGCAAAGGCAAACTCCGGTAACTGCCATGACCTCGCTCCCACCCCCGATAATGCAAGGTTGTCAGATTTAGCAAATAAAAATATAGGATGCCCAGTTCAATTTGAATTTCACACAATGATTCATTTTTTAAATGCATACATAGCAATATTTGGGACATAGTTTATCTGAAGTTCGAATTTCACTGAGCCTCCTGGAGTTTATTTGGCAACCCTACCTACCATCCGAGCAGTCTTTCGTCAACACTCTGCTACTCTGTCCAATATCCTGTCAAGCTCTTGAGATTCTGGGTCCCCAAAGACTCCCCAAAATGCAAAACTTGTATTTTAGGCATGAAATGGGAAGACTGGGAATGTGGAGAGGGTGCCATGGGAATGACCCCCCGGGACCCCTGGAGTCCAGAGTGAGGAAGAACATGGGGCTTCGCTTCCGGTTCTCTGACCAGATAAGCTTGGCGGGCAGGCTGGTGCTCAGAAGGCAGGGGCTCCAGAACTTGGAGCTGCAGCTAAAAGAAACCAAAGGTGAATGCAAAGCAGCCACGCAAGAGCAGGGGCTAAACTCGGCTGAACGTCAGGTAGTGGAACACACCAACACTGTGTTCTTCTAGCCCCAGTAGCACCCAGAATCAGGCCTCTCATGCCTGCAGGCATTTGCTTGTCCTTCCCGAGAGAGCTAGGGTCATCTCAGTGGGACCGGTCATCCCTCTCCGTTCTTTCTCTCGTCTCCATCCCTCAGATAACCTAAAGGACTACTGATTCCTACTTTACGATAGATCCTCAACATCTCTGGGACTGAATTTTCTCTCTTATGAATTGAGGCTGGACTAAGAGGTTGATCCCCAAGATTTTTACCCTAATGAGCACTATTGAAGAAATTTCCACCATGAGCTCAAGAGAAGCCCAGACCCTGGTCCTACCTTCTCCAATAATTAATTTTCTAGCTTAAGACAAATAATTTAACCTAAAAGAATGCTTTTCCCATAATACGTAGTATATATGTATATGTCTCCAATGTAAATGACCTCTTTACACTTTGTTTTTGTCATCTACAAAATAGAGGATTTTGACTGGTTCATCTCCGAAGTTGCTTCCATTCCTAAGATTTGATGTTTTTCCAAGTGAACGGCCTTAAGTATTTTTGTAAATGCCTGATCAAAGCATTGCTGTATGAAAATACAATTAGCTAGAACTTAAAAGATGAATGCATTTTAATTCTTAAATGGTAACTTAAAATCTTTTTTAAAAGCCAAAGGAGCATCCAAGATCTGGCTCAGGACACATGCTTGAGACGGTTGCTCTCTCCTCAAGTCCGACTGTACCAGATTTCCTCCCAGACCATGGCCGTCCCCACCATCGTAATCACAATGGCAGGTCCCAGCCCCACCTTTCCCTCCCTGGTGTATTCCGTAGCTCTTTACCGCAACTAGACCGACCAAGCCTTTCTCTTATTTACTATTTGCCCATAAGGACAGAAATTTTTACTTGTTTGCTTGTTTTCACTACTTTTATTCTCCAGCATCTAGAACAGTACTTGGTGCAGTGAAGGCACCCATTAAATACATGTTGAATAAATATGTTTTATTCTTGCCTCAAAGACTATTCAAAAGCAATAAAAATAAACAATATTTGTTTATTGTTAGGCATATGAGTATATGTGTGTTAAAACTAGATTTTAAAAGGAAGGAGTGAATATAAATACAAAATTCAGAGTCATGGCAGGGTGGGAGAAGCTAAATTGGGAGACGGGGAATAGCTCAAAGATTAACAGGTTATTCATGTGTTTTTTACGTTAGGCCGTAGTTGCATGCATGTTTATTAAGCAAATAATTAAATGAGGGTCATCTATAGATCAGTGAGGATAGTGTAACAATGTGACATGGGCCAAGGATTGTGATTAA